TCATAAAAAAATAGCCAGAAAATAGATCCCAGCATATAGTACCGTTACTTGATGGTTTGGTTGGTTTCAAATAAACAAAGCATATGCAGGTGATAGGAGTTACTATCATAGGGGGCAGCAAATTACTGCAGGAGGAGCTGTTTGTGGTGTTGCCTCTAGCATTTGTGGAAGGTATCACAGATAAGCTTAGTATTAATGGTGATGCAATCAGTAGGCCTTTGCTGTTTAGGTACTAGGGAGGTAGGGGTAGAGAGACAATTTGAGCCATGAGGGTTGGAGAGACATTGCAGAAAGAACTGGTACTTGGAGATACTACTAAGAAAGAAACTTCAAAATGAGTATGGGGGCCTGAAATCCAGGCATTATTCTTCAGAGGAAAGATTTTAGGGCTTGTTGGGGTTGAGAAGTTGCCATCTGACACAAATGCCAGAAGCAACTGCATGATGATAGAAAGAAATGAATATTTGGAATCTGCATTGTTGTAGTTCAGCACTTCGGTTGGAAACAATAGTACTAGCATTGCATGAAGAAACTGGTATTTTATTGGCCAGCACAAATGTCAGAAGCAACAATATCACAGAAAAGGCTTGAAATTGAATTTTTACKAGCAGCTTTAGCTAGCAAAGCAGCTGCAAAGGAAGTACCAGTAGCGGAGTAGGCCAGTATGCTACTAAACTTGGTAGTAGGAGCTGGTGCTATAGTACTTGGCTCAAGTGTAGACGATCTAATAGATAGCCAGGATTAGTACTAGGGTTTAGGTTGTCATTGTTGTTGTTGTTGTTGTCCCACATGAATGTCATAAACAATAGCATGATGACCAGCAGAAGATATTACCTTTGGAGGAACCAGGACAAAGGTACTAAGCTACTGAGACAACAAGGAGCTGTTATCACCAGTAGGGGAAAAAGGATCAAGAATAGAACTCATGGGGTCAGCAATACACTACTTTTACTAAAGGGGCCATGATGGAGATGGATTTTCCCCTTCCAAAGGGGTTGTGGCCATGGTTGGATGCCAGAAGAGACAGGTGAGGTATATACTTTAGGAATCAGTAGGAATTATAATTGATAATTCTCAAAACACAAGTGCAGTAAGTTTGTTTGTTGGAAAATGGTGTGTGTAATTTTGTACATTGGAAAATATGTACATTTGAAAAAATTCAAAACTATGTTAGCTAGTACTACTAGTGGTGAAACAATTGGGTTGGATATTCTGTTTTGTCAACCAGCACTCCTATCAACAGCTATTGAGAGCACTACTCAGAAGTTAAAGATTTTATTTTGGTCACCAAGCTCTTTTCTACATATCRTATAGCGTGGGCCACACTTTTCCAGGCGAAATTATCATACATTTTTAATACTATATTTGTACACGACAAATATCGATATCTTCCACTAATAGGACCCCCCTACTCCCYGCCRCATTCGAAARCTCTTTGAATTCTCTTTTTAACAAAGTGATTACCATACTTAAGCGTCCATTGGGGAAAAGTTATGGCTGTTTGAGTGAGTTGAACCTCTCTTAATGCCCTACGTGTTTTTTGTACTGTGCATMGATTTTGGGCCATCTAATTACCGTGTAATGACTCGTGGGATAAAAATTTGACTTGTACTAGGCCTACAGCATGCACGTGCAAGCAGAACTATTTTGGATACTATTTTGGTTGCACAACTAGTGGGATTTGAAAATTTGAGTACGTACTTGTGGATTTTGTATGTATTTAATTTCTTAGTCAAAGTAGTCATTACATGGAAAAATATAGCCCAAGATGTACGATTAAATCATACATTTGCTGGCCAACTCTATATGATACTCCTGCATCCATCAAGTGTTTCTGAAATCTTMTTCTTCTTCTGTAGGAGTTGTACTGCCTTTTCTGCCCCTCAGGTTATCCATTTTGTGGGTGAAGGTACTACTAGCTAATAGATAGGTTAAAGAATCCTAAGCAGACAWGGTTATTTTTTGCATACTTCTTTGACTACTACTGCAAGTTTCATCTATTTTTAATCTTGCACAGGAATAAAGTCTAAGTTCTTGTTGACAAATTTTTGGTTTTCACATTTTTTTATTATTAGAGAGGAGTGTCCTGTCATTCATTTTGTGGACCTAAATAGAAAGCAAAACCAATTTTCAATTGCATAATATTTGAAAYCTGCAACAACTTCAATCCTACTATGTTTCAGCTATTAACAAACCCTGAGCAGGAAAGTTCACCATTTCAACCAGGCTCYACCAGAGCATATGATACTTTCTACACTGTAATCAATTTTCCTTCACATTCTGCCCCAAACCCCTTGTTCACTCACCTTGAGTACACCATCAATATTGAAGCCCATTATAATTGCAATATATCTATCAAACTGGGATTTCTCATCTAGTGGCCTGCTAGTATTCTTGTGCCTTCTTGAACCTCCTGCTATTCTAGTAGTAGTGGTATTTGTCACTACCTGTATTCTGCTGGTGGTGAGCTACTAGTAACAAGAAACCCAGAATATTGATTCTCTCATTTTAGTACTCACATACTATCTGTAGAAAAAATAATTGAAATTTGTAACAAAATAAAGATAATACCAGCAAGAAGGTTTCTGCTGAGAAATCTCAAGAATACAGTCCCAAGAAGAAGTCTATTTGGAGCTGCTAGCAGGTTTTGGTTGGTATTCATATAGAAAGAATGGAGAAGGGATGGTTCAGGCCACCCCAGTGTCTCTCATTACCAACAGGAACAGTGGACTGGGTGAAATCTAAAGGGTGCCATAACCTGAGAGGAGAATAATGCTGCAAGCTGCTGTCAGTGTTTGTCACATGCCTTTTCTTGCTCCATGAGCAATCTGCATTACTACCATTTGTTGTCTCCTCAAATTTGTTGTGGTTGTCTTCACTTTTGATTGCACTTTGCAGAGCATCAAGTTCATTGAAAATAGAGGCATTTAGGACATTAACTTTAGAGTTGATTCCAAGGGCACAAGGACAGTTGCAGTGTTGATAGATCACTTTGGTATTAGCAGAAGTGAAGTGCCCACATAACTTGTCATGTTGCTCCTTGTCGCCTACAAAGAAAGCGGCAGCAAATTTCAATCTAACATTCCAGAGTTTACCATTCCATGGACAATTGTGCCACCAAATATCATTTGACAATTCACAAATTGCACAGAAGGATGCCAGAGCTGGCTGTAGACCATTATGAAGATTGTTTACATTGTCAACCAACACATTGCTTTTTCCTTGAGGGTGAAAGTAAAGAGTCTCCCCAGCATTGGATCTAGTGGATCAGGTGAGATCACTTAATATACCAAGAGTCATATTCAATGGGCAAAGGGTTGTGCTTCTGTGCCTGTCTATAGCAATGTGGTTCATGTAGAATATAATGCTGGGAACCAACATTTTGTCTTTATTTGGATTGAACTTTTTTTTCCAAGTTTTGACCCACCATTCCCCGTGGTGGAGTTTGCAAATAAGGGAGTCTGCTGCTTGTATTCAGGAACTCAGCACAGTGAAGTGGGGTTGTTTTCATTGGGGAAAGATAAATTTTCTTCTTTCTTGATTATTGAAACATTGGTTAAATGAGATTGCAATGCTAGTCTAAAGGACCTTACATAGATTRTTTTGTYGCTGACTTCRTTGCTAAAATGCCATTCAATAAGCTGCAGTAAAAAAACCATTACCATGTAGTTCAGGAGCTGCTTTGTAGCATTCTTCTAGAACAGATTGGCAATTTTTGATCAAACTGCTTCCAGTACTCCAGGTAAATCCARACATCCTCTCCAGTTTGGTAGCCCATTGATATAGCTCCCTTTCGGCAACTAAGGGTATATTGTGGTCTCTCATGATCTTCATYAACTTTATTTTGACCTTGGTTGAGGGTGGTAACAATCAATTATCAAAGGGWGTTTTGATTACATCAAGGAGCAGAACAGAGTTGGAGCTCTCCTCCTGATGAGCAGGTTCATAGAAAACATCATTGTTGTGATCAGAATGGACGTATTCCATTGCAGACTCTATCAACACACAATCAACTTCTTCCACCAAAGGGTTGTACATAACTTGGTCCTCAAGATTCTGCAGCATGCCACTAGATGGACTGTCTTGGGAATTAGTTAAAGCAAACCACTGGCTAAGGCAACCGTATTGCTCAAATTTTTGAACAATGATGAACTAAAGTCGTGGGTCCTGCCACTGACATTAACATAATTCTGGAAGCAATCTTTGCTGAGACTACTAAGATAAGTTAGTAGTTTCGTTGATGTGATGAAGCCTGACTTTTTGTCTTGTTTGGCACTGTAAAATACAGGACACTGGTTTTTCCTATCTCTTGAGCTGTGTCAGTTTTGACAGATTACCTTTAGCTTAGGGGGGGGGGCATGACAAAGGGCAGAGTTCATACAACGGAGTAAGTTCTAACTGARAGGTTAGTAGTTTTTTTTGTGCTTTCAGCATTGACCATAAAAATTTGGAGTAAAATAATGCTCATTCTGGAAACATATTCTGGCRATATGGAGTTGTGAAGGATTTTTCCAAATTTTAATCCAATCAGGAAAAACTAAGGGTGGAGGTTGAAACTTCAATGGTATCAACTGCGTGAAATGCTCAATACCACAGATCCGGTTTGTGTGACAGTGGGATATTTTTCACAAAAAATAACCCATGTTTTAAAAATTGGGTTCCTGGGTTAACCCATGAAATAACCCACAGCATAACCTACAAATAACCCACAAACCCTCTGGGCCTACTATTTTCAAAAATTCAAAACAATGATTAAATAATACTAGTAAACATCAAGAATGACTAAAATACTTAACATCTTTGGTTCTCCATCAACCCAGATGACTGTAAATTTGTGGGTTATTATTCATGGGTTATTTCCTGGGTTATTTGTGGGTTCCTGAGTTCTTTCCTGGGTTATTTTTCAAATAAAACAACCCACATTTTAGAAACATGGGTTATTTTTCCCATGAAATAACCCACAATTCTAATACATGGGTTATTCTTCACCGAAAATAAYCCACTTTTTCTAGCGGAGGAATTCGACAAGGGGGATGGGCACATGGGTACGAGTAGTGCAGGTTCCTGTGAAGCAACCCGTACTCGCACAGTTACGTTGACGTACTACTGCAACAAAAATTGGTTGCTCCAATCACATGTACGGTACAATRATAACAACAAACCAACATAATACAGGAGGAGAATAGGCATGGCAAAAACACCAAGAAGTAAACGAAGAGCACTATGGAGACAATATTGGAGGCACGTCTTGACAGGGGCGGTCGTTGTCTTGTTTTTGGCACTCCAAGCCTTTCTCTTTCACGTGCACACGTCGACGACAATGCTCATAACTTCGACCCAAAGCAACGGCCGTGTTATGCCGTTACAGCCGCACATAACCTCGACCAGTACCAGTACTTCGACCCATGACAAAAGAGGTCGCAAGGGCTATGGAAGGGTTCAATGGCCCACGCCCATGGGTTCTGGGAAAATCAATCGCTCCGAGGGCCCTGGAAGTGCTCAATGGTCCAAGCCCATGCTGCTGGTGGGTGGGTCCGATGGAAGTGGGACRCGCGCCTTCGTGCAGACGCTTCGAGAATTGGGAACCACCATTATTTCGGAGGACAAGTATTCTTTCGATGTCCACGCYAACGAAATCGGTGGCTGGCCAGAGCTGATCGAAGAAATTTACATACCGTTTGGCCGCGACGGATTTTTCAGTTCGAATCCGTCCGGTTCTTCTTTGTCTTCCAATGGCAATGGTTCTCGTACTCTTTCGACAGCGACAGGGTCGGGGATGGAATCGGACGCCGGCAGAAGTTTGTTGGTTGATAACTAYGACTGGCCACCAAAGGAATATAAAAACAGAAGAMTCCAAGAACGAGTTGAAAACAAAATACAGAAGCTACTGAATTCTTGGAACTTTAAATTCTATCGGCTTCAGCGTGTGAATTCAAACAAAGCAGCAACACGTGGCAACAAAGGCCCCGGGCGGGGGCGTCCTGACCATCGCGGTGGCTCCGCAACAGTGTTTCCGAACGCGGTGGCAAACGGGGTGCGTTTCGCTGTCAAGGCCCCCGTATCGATGCTGGCCTTGCCGGCCTTTGCTGCGCGCTATTTTTCCCACGAGGTCGACGAGCAGGTAATTGGCTYACCATCACCTCCACCGCTCAAGTTTTTGCACGTTATTCGTGATGGCCGAGACGTTGCTTTGAGCGACAATCAAAGCCCCGTCATCAAATTCTACAATCTGACATATCCAAAACAACTTCGGGAGGCAGAGCCGCATCGGTCTCGTTTTTCGGCTCCTCCTCTGGTGCCGCCAACGAAACAGAACGAACAAATGTTTGCAAAGGCAATGCAATTGTGGAACGATTGGAATGTCGCTGTGTATCGTTGGGCGACCAATGGCCACAGAAACAGAAACGACGCAATGGGATTGCATCAAGGCAACGATCATTTGCCATTAGTAGAGTATCTGTGGGTGCGCTCCGAGGATTTACTGGTATCTGGAAGCCAGGAACGATTGGATGCATTGACAGCGATGGCAAAATTTGTAGGATCAACTTTAACACCCGAAGAGTTGTGCTGTTTGACAATGCAACAAAACAAAGACCATGGCGCGAGCAACAAATGGGAATCTGCATCCAGCCGAAGAGACCTCCGTCGCGGCAGAGGAGGTTATAGGGGACCATTAAAATCCATATACGCAGAGAACCCCAAACCCCAACCCCAACTGCTCCATAATAAAAGTAAGGAAGGTGGGTTGGAAAAACGGTATGGGAAATGGCAGAAAATTTTGGCCAATAACTCTCAGCTATACAATTTTTTTCATAAAGAAGGTGCAGAAGGATTGCAACTCTTTGGATATCACCCATACCGCCAAATGTATCGCACATCGCAAAATGCTACAATTGATGAACAAGAAAAACACGATGGTCGCAGCACTGATGAATCGTCAAAGAAGGTTAATGCAAAGAAGGAACGTGAAAAACGTCGCTTCGGTGACGAAGAAAGTATGGACACCCCTATATGCAGTGTATCCATCAACTGTACTCTAAAGAAGTGATTTGACGCAAATTGTTAGCACTTGTGTGTAATGATTCCATGTTCTTATGTAATCTCTAAAAAGGATTTAGTCCAGCGGATGATTTCAAACTGTTAAGTCGTGTAGGCAAGATAGCTCTAATGCACTGCTTCAGATCTTGGATGAAGATCAAGAGAATCAGCCTGAATCAGCCTATGGCTGACCTTTTCAATCCAAGTCCCAATTACCAACGTTACTTGAAGAAAACGACAAGCTATTGGTAGGATAAAATGCAAGAAGCGCCACTCACAAAGAATTTACTTGTTGCYAACAGAAAGGATCATCAAGAGTTTGGTTCCTGCCATGAAAAAGTGTCTGTTTTATTGAAAATTATTCAAGGCAAAAATCGCGACTAAAATGAAAAATCAAAAAAGCCAAATGAAAAATAAAAAAAATCCAAAAGAAAAAAATCTAGAAGGAAAAATCAATAGCAGCAAACAAACTTGGTCTTGGTGTAGTTGGTACCCTTATAGGTGATGGTCGTAGTATGGAGATTTTGGGGGGGTACTAGAAGGATCAATGGGTGCAGTAAGCATACTTACACAAATTCTAATTTATAACTTTCAGAACCAAAGTGTAATTTTGTCTGTTGGAAAATACATATATTTTGAAAAAWTTCTTGGTTTGAAAATTAAGAAATTATATCTCTGATAACCACCAGAGCATTCTTCTCCCTAGTCCAGAGAGGCTCTGGTTCTGGCCATATAGTGCCTCTTCTAGTTCACGAGGCTAAATATAATATTAAGATTTAAAAAAAAATCTCTGATAACTACCTGCTAGTGGGTTCAAATACACTTACATTTTTGGACCTTTTCAATTTTTGCCTGTCAATTCCATTCTAATGTGAAATGCTAATATTATCCCTTTTGAGTTCACACATGTAAAAATCAAATCACCAGAACAGCCCTTCAAGCAAAAGTCTATCTTTGCTGAGAGTAACTTTACTGGTTAGGATGGTTTCATTTGCCATTCAAGAAGTTGTCAACTGTTGATGTATGAGCATGTAAACACATAGGAAAACTAGTAAAATTTACTGCTTGGTCAAATTGGTTGTTGCACAGAAAAAGGAGGAATGCAATGCAAAGCCTAGTACTAATTCTAAATTCACAAGCCATACATAGACAATATTTTATACCACTCATACAACAAATGATATGGCTGCACTGGCAATATTCAATACCACCATAGAGGAAACAGTTCATACACTTGTCCTTGAATTTAACGTATTGCAAATTGCACATGGTACTACTGTTTGAGGTGTTATCCATAAGAACTCTTGAACACAACAGTAGTTGCCATTTCATTTTCCTGCAAATATATCAGAGGATGTTCCTAGCACCATAAATGAAGCTGCCTCAAATTTTTTTGATGGTACCTAAATCCAAAAATTCTTTCTCTTGTTTGTTAATGGAGAGGATACTACTACTAGTTACACTATTATGAATAACTAATATAGTAGTGAATCAAGCATTGCAAGTGGCAATCGAAATTGTTGTTGTTGTTGTGACACTTTTTAATGGATACCTCCATTGATAATACTATTGTTGCTTCATTGCTTGAATTACATCTAGGTCTAGTTTTATAATATTACGAGTGCAAGATTGCTGTTGATTTAGGGCAGTCGTCATAAGCTTGCTTGTATGCGTATGAATCATGAACGGGAAGGGACATTCTTCCAAGAGTTGACAATGACATTATTTTCTCTCTTCACGTAACTTAAAAAATGCGGTTTCAATGCGCCCCCTGGGCCACACGAGATTACTTGACCTCGTACACGAAGAGAACATGGGGCATTTTAAATGCATGGTGCATCCTTGTGTTCAAAAGAAGATAGTGCCCGGTATTATGTCACCATTGCGTTGCCATCACCCCATCCATGTTGGTGAAAGAGGGAAAGTGTTGCGGCGTTTTGTTGGAAGAACACACATCACTATCCATCTTATTTAGACATAAACAGCCACTGCTCTCCTCATTTCTCTCCTTCTTTGTGCCACCACCACTCCTGTTCTTTCTTTCTGTACCGCAACCACGACCACCTTGCCTAAGTCTCTGAGCACTGCATCGTCTCAGATGTCCGCGATATGCAAATCCAACGTATCTTCGCAACTGGTCAGGTTCAGTTAATTCGTCATACCAATGATTAATATGATCATGCAACAAGAATTGAAAGCACCGCGAGAGCGCCAACCGAATTATTCGATTGAGAATATCCTCTTCCAGGGTGGAAATGTGCTTGGTGTACTCATTGTTAATGGGGAACTCTTCGTCAAGGAAGGCACGAAATTTGATATTGCCGGGAAACTCCCATGCCACGCCATTCTTGTGGAATAGAACGCAGTTGATTTCGGGGCAATATATATGCGGGAACGGTTCAAGTTTCGACTTGTACAAYGTAGAGTAGTCACAATCTGCATTGGCCATAGCTTGATTTTCAATGTGTTCGTCCATAGCACAACGGACKTTCATCCACCTCATGTGCTGGCGCGTTTTCACAGTACCAGAGTAAGTGGTAGGAATGTCCTCGGGCCTCACCCCAAATGAGCTCAAACTGTAGAGGTACTCGACGGTTTCCCCAGAATGGATTTTCAACACTTTACGACCAGTCTTTCCAATCAAAAATAGCATGAGCGGTTTGAGTAGCCGAACAATGAGTTCGTTCGGAAAGCACATATGTATCGCCGAAAATCGAAATGGGCATGCCTCGAACATGGAATAGAAAAAGCTTGACATGTCTGCAGTGCTTTCGCCCCCCAGTCGCTGATAAACGTCTTCGGTCATCAAATGAACTGTTACTATCCCATTCTGTTGACTTCTCATGTCCTCTCCTAATTGAAACAACAAATATAGTCCTACTCTATTTCTCTCCAAAACAGAGTATTTCGCACCACAATTGCCCACAAAAAACATCACTCTTCGTCCCAGGGAATCTCTAGATGGTGAGAATTGCATGCTGCCTTCCTTGAGCAGTTTTAGTTCACGCTTGGTTAAATCTTTCAGCAATAATTGGCGCATAAGGCAGACGTCGCCGAAATATCTCTCTAAAAGGTTCAAATACTTGCAAAACCTTGTGACAGCTTTGGTAACTTCGAAAAACTCAGCACGCAAGAACCTAAGTCGAAGATCCCTCGATTTCACATAACTTGAATTCATGCTCAAGGCTCGATGATAGTTCTTTTTCACCTGGGCGTTTACACTTGATGCGGGATTATTCAATTCGTAATCAAATTCCAATAATGCTTGAATGAGATTGCCAGGCTTCTCGTATTCGACCGCGTCGTATCGCGATTCTACCCCGTGCAGTTCATAAGACGCAGCCTCGCGATCACGCTGAGGCATTTCGTATTGCTCTTGCGCCCATAATTGTTCTATGCGCAACCCATCGATCGTCGATTGTCCATGGTTTGTGCTCATGTGGGTGTCTTCGCTAATTGTGTCGGTTTCAATATCCATGGTTGTTCCGTCAATTTTTGGTCCACACTGAGGTCCTGGTTTATTACTTTTCCCACAGTATTACGATGTGCTGTACAGTACTTCTATTTGAAAAAAAATCATCAACTTCTGTTTCCTTCTCCCGATACTACTACGCGTTGCGGATCAATTAAAACTACGTTTCACAGGGCATTCCCAATCTTAATTTAACATTCCAAATGTTTATTTAATGAACTGTACGGAATGATAAATTTATTGCTGTAGGCTTACGTAGGTCCTAGTATTATCCACATTCTTCTTCAGTCTTGCACATGCCTAAAAAAGGAAGAAGGGATCTAAAAAAGAGGAAGAAGAGGACGCCTCCCCTGCTAACTTTCAGACTGTTAAGCAGAGCATTCAGGATGTCAAATTGAAGCAAAAACCACAGTACTTATTTCTACATAGCCTACGCTGCTAACATTCAGAATGTTACTACTAAATTAACATTCTTGGGAAGAATGCCCTGTGAAACATAGTAGTTTCAATTGATCCGCAACACTTAGTAGTAAGTAGTACTCGTCCTTGTACTCTAATTACTAYGCATTTCATAACAATTGAATACAGTCTTGAAAGGGAGCAAAAAGTAATAATTTGAAGTTATGAACTCTTGCTTGTACATCATGATGTACCACCAGGTTCTACTGAGCTAATTTTTGGAAATGACTGAATAACTTGATTGATTCCCCTAAAGAGCAAAATGGTTCCTCCTGGCCTGTCAATTCGTAAATGCCATTCMAAAACTGACTCAGTGAAACATAGTAGAATTTCTACTAGAGTTCTTAACTTCAAATTGAAAGTTTTTGCTCACTTTTGAGACTGTATTCAATGGTTATGAAACACGTAGTAGTACTAGTACATGTTTCATAACAATTGGTGAATAGTACAGTCTTGCCAGAGAGCAAAAAGTTTTGATTTAAAGTTCTAAACTTTGATTTGAAGTTATGAACTTTTGGACATGTATCATGTAACAGGTTCTACTGAGCTRTTTTTAAAAAATGACGGAATTGCCGAATTGATTCCCCTCAAAACAAAACAAAATGGTTCAAGGTGATTCAATCATGAATCCAGCCTTTCAATCATGAATCCGGCATTTCAATCATGAATGCCATCCAAAAACAAGCTCAGTAGAACCAAGTAGACTTTCTACCAGGACATTTGAAGTTCTGAACTTCAAATCAAAGTTTAGAACTTGAAATTAAAACTTTTTGCTCTCTGGGGAGAAAGTATTCAAATGTTACAAAACGCATAGTACTACAAGTTTTGTAACAATTGAAACTGGGCTTGCCCAGCATGCAAGTGCTCTCAAGTTAAGACTTAAAGCGTTAAAACAAAGTTATGAACTTTGAATCAACATTGTCAACTTGTGCCACAAGTTACCAACTATTCTACTATGCAGATGTAGTACATAGACTTTGTACTAGCCCTGCTATGGGCACGCAGGTAGGTCAGCAGTTGCTGATCCAGCTAGATCAGCTGCTCACCACCACCAAGGAGCAAACTGGATCTGTTTGGATGTCTGTAGTACAAAAGCTGTGTAGAAAATGCCATAGAAAATTGTGGATCAAGGGGCTGCAGATTTTGTTCAAAATGGAAGGGTTTTGATTCCTCGTTCAAATTTGTACTGGGGTCTACTCCTGTCGTGACCTAAAACTTTCCTCCAGCACGCTGCTCATCTAAAACTGTTCTTTTAATTCATTAAAAAAACTTGGTTCAAAGTAACCGACCATGGGAATTGCTCTATTTGCAGCACTTCCACTCAACCTTAGATACTTGGTATCACTGGATAGCTCTCTTCAATTGTTGATTGAACAAGCCTTGAACCATAGAAAGCAAGCAAGTGTAACAGATTTTATTGTGTGTTAAGTGTAGCTTCTTTTTTACGACAACTGCTTCTTCTGACATCGGCAATCACCATGGCTATTGATCCAGCAGATAAGATAGCAAAGATCAGAGCTGGTGCTGGTCTTTCTAGATTGACACAACAAAGAAGAGCTCAAAAGCCTCATCCTTCTAGGGGAGGGAGTGAAGGCTATCCTCTCTTTGTAAGAGAGTTGGAACTGCAAAGCAAGGATGATGGTCTTCCTCCTGTTTTTGCCAGTAAGGTATCTCATTCAAGATGGAGCATTTGTCTTGATCCATACAGAATGAGAGGTAACAGTGACCAGAGCAAGCTTGTTGGACCAGACCAGATGCTTCTTGTCATTGGTATAACCATTAGCCCTTCTGCTAGTGAAGATGAGTATGCTACATTCATCTACAATCAGGGAGGGAGAATCTATTCAAGAGTAGATATCTCCAGGCRCTTGGATGGAATGAAGATYRCCAGGAAGAGGGCGTYGACTGAAGCCTACYAAGCCTTCACCTTTAGGAACAGGAGAAGATGCAAGTTGTTCTGGAATCATCCTCCTCCCCTTGGAGTAGTTGGAATCCCAAGAAGGAAGTTAATTCATGTGGATGAGTTTGCCTTCAACCTTCAAAGGACTAATTGCAAATATGGATGGTCTTTCATAAGAAGAAGAGTTAGAAAGATAGGACACTACAAGAGGACCAACAAGCTCACTGTTCTCTTTACTGTGGAGCCAGGGGATCCATGGCTGCCTCCAGAGACCAGGGGAGGTATCCAGAACCCAATGAGATGGATTGAGGTAATCAGAGCTGGAGGGACCTCAGCCTGGACCTTTGCTCAGTTTATTGAGGAGATTTGTAGTGATATCTAGCAACGGCCCAGCACCAGGGGATACTGATGCTGAAAAGTTCTTTGGGACAATCTTAGAGCTCATCTAACCAATGTAGTAGTAGCTCAAACAGTAGAGGTGAGACCAGCTGGAGAAGGGACTGTCTTAAGCTCTGTCCTGTTCCCCCCTTACCAACCAAAATATGGTCCCTTTGAGTATAAGATCTGTGATCTAATTGGTGATGTGAGCAAGATGGCGATGCCTTTCTGGACCACTGCAGACCTGGAGCACACCATTAGAACCAAGGCCTTTAGGTCACTTGCTCCCTTTGATTCAACCTTTGACCATTGTGGATACAYTGTAGATGGAGTGTATCAACTGCTTTGATATTAGAAARCAGGAGTAGCAACAACAGCATGTTGACAGTCTCCAGCAAGTGGGCTAGATTCAGTGAGTAGGAGCATTAGACTGGAGCAATCCCATAGGGACTGGCTTGCTGGCGAGTTGACTCCTCCTGGGCCTATTAAAATTGAATTGCACTGTGAATGCTTAGATTCCAGTCCCCCTGGAACAGCTCCAGCTTCTTTGTAGGATGCTCAAACAATTCAACAAATTGACTAGACTGATTCAATTACAGTTGAGACATACTCAAGAGGGATTGATCCAATGTGAGATCCTTCCATGATTCTAAAACAGTACTATTTGTATACAATTTATCTTTAGTAGTAAGAATAATATCCATCAAGGGTAGTTTCAATAGACTTGAGCAATACACCACAGACCAACTYGCTAGTCCATTGAGTCCTTCTGGGCCTACTGTTTTAGAATATACTACAGTGAGTCAGTTTACAATCTAATTTGTCTCTATACTATTACAAGATTACAATAGTAGTACTAGTAGTAGTACCTCAACAAGGAGATACTACATGGGGGCTATCAACAGCAATCACAGGGATTGCAACAGCACGCAACAGCTTCTTTATTTGTACAGAAGAGACAGCAAGAGGGCATCATAATGGTGGAGGAACAGGAGGAAAGGAACCACCACTAGAGGAATCAATGTGCTCAGCATTCAGCCTTCACAAGGACTAAACGGATGTGCAAATCAATCAGAGAAGYTGTCTCCATAGTCAAATCCAGCTGAGCTCTGGCTGCTGGCTGGACAAGCCACCAGRACTGCTAGCCTTCTTGCTTGCAACAGCTGGCGCCTTCTTTGCAGCAGTGATAGGCTTTTTGCTGCTCAAAGCTGGGCGCTTGGTAACATGCTTGAGACCCAAGCCCAAGTTGTGGCCCCGGACTGCTGCTGGGTGCTTTAAGCCAGTACTACTAGTTGCTGGGCGCTTCAAGCTACTATCACTAGCAACAGCATCCTTTCCCCTCTCAGGAAAGAGCTCACGCCTCTGTACAAACTTTGCCATGGATTCAGTGGTCTGCTCCCCATTGGGGCAAATGTTCTCCATTTCCTTTGCCCTTTTCTTGAGAGCCATGGCGTCTGCACCAGTATTCTCAGCAGTGAGCTGTAAAGGCAGTAGATCAAGGGCCTTTTGCTTGGAAGCAGAGTGAGTACCAAGAACAGACTGCTTGATAGCTTCCTTCCTGATCTCCCAACCAAACAAAGGAGTAGCTGCAACAGATGAGCCCTTGCGGCGCTTGGCAAGGGAGGAAGCTTAAACTCAGACTTGATAGGCTCAGGCTTCACCTCCACCTTGCCTGTGCTATAAAAGCTGGTGGAGAGAAACCCTGAGCTATCACTGTTGCTCTCAAGAATAATACAATATATTAAGAATATATTTTAAGAAATATAAAAATGAACCAACACATCACTAGTACACTTGATGGTTGAAGTTACTCCAATGTTCTCTGCATACAGCAACATTGCAACTTCTGCAACCATTCCTTGACATTTTTCATACTAATCCATGGCAACTTCCTCTGTGTGAACAAAATTACCAGCACCACCATTGCTCATGGAAACTTCAAGTATGAAGGAGTAAAGAGGAACTTTTGTGTTGTCTGTGTAGAAGAAGCAAAGCACAGATATGCTGACTCATCAGTGAGGAGATGATTGAGGAAGTTGCCATGGATTACTAGTATGAAAAATGTCAAGGAATGGTTGCAGAAGTTGCAATGTTGCTGTATGCAAAGAACATTGGAGTAACTTCAACCATCAAGTGTACTAGTGACRATCTGTTAGTTCATTTTTATATTTCTTAAAATATATTCTTAATTTATTGTATAGGTAACTGTCCAAAATAACAAAAAGCTGCAGGAAAAAGCAAATACCTCACATATGATACTGTTGGAAAGCCAGTTTGCTCTTGTCTTATTTGCAATAGCAGGTGTGGTACTTTGTTCCTTAGGGGGGACAGGCACAAAGCTGCTGGTGAGGCCAGGGATAAGCAGGAGGCTGCTGCTGAGCCAKCAGCTCATGGTGAGACTGCCACCTTGCCTCAGCTTTTCAGCAAGTATGTTGCTGACACATTGCAGAACAGTGTGATTGATACTGTGGCTCAAGCAAACACTGCTGTCAATGATCCAGTWGCTGCTCAAAATTCTTTTGCCTTTGCAGCACACAGGTTGCTCAGAAATCCAGATATTCTGGGGAGTATGGCAATGAGGCACACCATGCAAGGGATGGATCCAATGGGGATTGAGACCAGGGATGGGCTATCCATCAATGCTCTCAGGAAGGGAAGGACTGTAGTAGCAGCAGTGGATCTGGCAGTAGCAGCAAGTGGATTTGGTATCCCTAAGAATCCAAGGGAAATGCAGCAACAACAGCCACAGCAGACACAGTCTCCACAGCAACAGCCTTGCCAGCAGCAGGCCCAGCCTCCAAAGAGGGCCCCTCTTCCTACTGGAGGACCTCCTACCACATCCATCTTGGTTGCACCTTTCCAACTGCACCATTAGATAGCTTTGGAAGTGGGAAATCTTCTGCTGTGCATGAACTGACCCTCTTCTTTGCCTGGACATTGGTTCCAACTKATACCCATCTGYGTTCTTCATATATCTTGGTCACAACTTTTATTTTAGTACTAGTGTAGAAGTTGTCCATGAACAGTCCAAGGCCATTATCTTGTCAAAAATTGGATTGATGTACCAACTGCTGAAAAAATCTTAATACTACTAGTATATTTAACCTCGGGAACTAGAAGGGGCGCTATATGGCCAGAACCATAGCTTTGGGTTTAAAGTATGCTCCAAGTTGCTCCAAGGGGCGGCACTCCCCTCCAAGGAGTGTTGGTGGAAGTGCGRCCAGGTGCCAACCACTGAATAATATCCCATGTAGACCCACTACTCATATCAGTGTAGATCTCAAATGAAACTTCTTAGTATCAGCATCACACACACAGTACACCTTAATACCATGCTTGATTGGCTTCTTCTTGAGAAGATACTGGACAAATTCAATGGATCTTTCTTTGGAAGCAATCATTGACTCATCAAAAGATAGGTCAATAATTGCATACCACCCAAGACAGAGACGATCAGCAATTTTCTCCGTCACCGTCCAGATTTTGTAGAGTAGGCCATCAGTATGATTTGATTGGCTTCTGTTGTCACNCCCACATGCGAATACAAGACCAAATGTTGTCGCATGCGAGAATTCCATGACGTGGTGTGGGAGAATTCCACAGGCAGCTGCTTCAAATGCTATTTGTAGAAACAAGGCCCGCATGCGAATACAAGACCAAACGTTGTCGCATGCGAGAATTCCATGGGCGGCTGATTAGAATGCCACTGGTAGAAACAAGGCCGGCATGCAAATACAAGAACAAACCCCACATGCGAATACAAGACCAAATGTTGTCGCATGCAAGAATTCCATGGGCGGCTGATTAGAATACCACTGGTAGAAAGAAGGCCCACATGCGAATACAAGACCAGCAAATGTTGTCGCATGCGAGAATTCCATGACGTGGTGTTCAAGAATTCCACAGGCAGCTGCTTCAAATGCTATTTGTAGAAAAAAGGCCTGCATGCGACTACAAGACCAAACGTTGTAGCATGCGAGAATTCCATGGGGGGCTGCTTAGAATGCTACTGCTGGTAGAAACAAGGCCCGCATGCGAATACAAGACCAAACGTTGTCGCATGCAAGAATTCCTGCTTGTTTGTAAAACAGYGGCAATTATGAACACGATCGTTTTGGTTGGATTTCAAATAGTGAATGTGTGAATGGTTTCAATACGCAAAGAAGACACAATGTCGTCGTTTGAAATCTAATCATGATGAATACAATGGCGACACCACGGTAGAGAGAAGGGGCTGGCACCGTGGACTAGTCGGATTTTGGTRAAAGCATAGGGATATGGTTCAATGTGTTTTTTAATTGTGAACAATTTCTGGCTCAACAACAGTGAACATAACAGTGGTGGGACTCAGGGTTTCTTCTACCTCGGAACAGAAATAAAACTGGTTTWCCATAACAACCCAACGCAACCCTCGCAACTAAGTTTATGCTTGAACGCGACCAAAACCATGCTATGTGTGAGGTTCAGTGGGCGCGTGAAAAAAAAATGGGTGTGTATTTAAAAAAAAAGGTTGCGAGCGGTCGCTACTGCTTGCGAACACTTTTTGTGACGAACAAGTAAATTGTTTCAGGAGAAGAACTAGTATGGTGGTAAGCAGAGCAAGAAATTCTTCGCAGGAAGAGAGTCTTGTTGCACCCCCCAAGAGTCGTGGAAAGCACCATTATTCGTNGTAAGCAGAGCAAGAAATTCTTCGCAGGAAGAGAGTCTTGTTGCACCCCCCAAGAGTCGTGGAAAGCACCATTATTCGTGTTGTTTCTTGTGGAATCATGGTATGTTTTCTTTTTKAAAATGGTGTTGTGTTGYAACACAACAAGAAGTTGTTGTGAAACAAGAATATTTTGCTACCAAATGTAGAATGTGAATAATACTAGGATCTACGTACGGTAGGCCTAGACGATAAATTTAACATTCGGAATGTTAAATTAACCTTCCCAATGCATTAATTAYAGTAACGTAATTTTTCAATTGTTGTTTTACGCGTAATACAGTAAAAAATTCGTTTTCCMTCCGATCACTTGGCGCGCAATCCGAGCTATACCACCAGATCACTTTTTTTGGAAAGCGCTTGATGTCCGGCTTGCGCAAGAAATTGATATGTCATMGGTATTTTTTCTGTTGGCCTATTCCGTTGTTTTCCCTGGTGTGTGGTCGAGTCACAGTAGAGTAGCTAAGGAATTCCTAATTTATCCACGATTTGCTAAAGTAATTATCCATGACAACCGATATTACTTAAGCGGTCGTAACTGTTATATTTCAACAGCATTTTCATTTACAGCAAGACGTTACGTCAGGRGAGCTCTTACACTAAATAACACTGATCTTTGGAATGCGAACCGACGAACAATTTTGGCGCCACTTACGAAATTAATTTGGAATTCGTACGATTACGTATGGGTAGATACTTACAGAATTACTACTAGTAAAGAAGGTACCGGTACGGTAATTAGCKGGGGCTTGGATTTCTGTACCTGTGCTTAGTTTCACTGTCGCGGTGACAGGAAAGAGAGCAATCCAAAACTTGATAATTGAGCACGTGAAAACGCGAGAGAAGAATCCGCACACATGTAAAATAGGTCACARACCAAAAATAGTATTGCCATACCACAGGTCCCAATATTTTTTGACAAGGTGCACAATATTCCTTTGCAAATAGAAGATCACAACACCAAAGACAATGAAATTTCATCTGATCCTCGGCTGTGCAACCCTAGTGGTAGCCGGCACCGCACTAGTTGCGCTATTTGGATCTCGAACACAAGAAGATGGCTCAGCGACCAGGAAGTTAAGGTTCAACAGACTCCCCGTTGTTTACGTGAACGAATGGTACGGAGACGATTGGTGGTCCTCTGGCGACGATTGGTGGGGCACCGATGACTATTCCAAGGGCGATGATTGGTGGGGGAGCGGGGACGATGGTTTCCACCACGGAGGCCATGGACAAGGCGATGACTGGCACAACGACGACTACACCTTTGAATACAAACCGGTGGCTTCCGAGTTCATCAAGGTCACCAACGGAGGTTATGGTGGAAAGTCGGGGCGTTCCCTCTCTGAGCTCCGCTTCAACAAGGTTCCCCCCGTCATTGAGGGATACAACACCAACGCATTTCGGTACACCCCGAGCCGCGACTACGTCCAAGGTGTCCACACGGCTCTCTTCCCCTTGATGCCGAGCGATTACCCCCTTACCGGAGAAAAAGCCAACATCGTGCGAAGAGAAACCATGGCCGATGCCGTTGTCCTTTCCGGAGACATACAGCTCCACGGAGACAGCAACCCCACGGTTTGGCTGAACCGTGCTGGGGTCACTCCCATATATCCTAGCGATCCCGCGTTTTGGGACGAGCTACGACCAGTGGTGGAGGCCCAGATTGCACGCCGTTCTGGAGTCTCCCCTTCCCAGATGAACTACTGGCCCGATTCTTGGGCGGATAAGACCACTTTGGACGCTGTTGCCGAGGCGGTGCAGGGAGAATACCCCGGTCTCCACCAATCGACCATCATCGAAAAGTTCTTCAAAGACGGTGTTGAGATGTACCGCGACATGTACCCGTTCCGCAGTGTTGTGGACTTCATCGGAACCGACATTCGCCTCGCCGCCATCAACACTTGGGCGTTCGAGGCCGTTGCCCCTATCAACTTCATGCTCAAGTGGCAYTACGGTGTGCCACGCCCCGAAGAAGTAGCGTGGATGATCTACAAAGGCCAGTACACTGAAGCTGACGGAGTCCCCGCAGACTTGGTGGCGCTCATTAAGTCCATGGACATGGAGTATGCCACCTCCTTCACCGCCTATGTAGACGGTTCCCCTACACACCCAAGTTTTCCAGCTATGCACTCTGCCGGATCAACCTGCAGCTACTGGATGCCAGCCGTATGCGACCTTTCGCCGGAACAATACTGCGAGGCCCTCCGGGTGGACTACGCGGTAGCCTATGCGCGCACCATCGCTGGAGTCCACTACCCCAATGACAACTACGCTGGCCTCAACCTCGGTCAAAGAATCATCAAGGAAAAGCTTCCGCCAGTGCTCGCCGAGAAATACGGATACGATGAAGCCAAAGTGGCGAGGAAACTTGAGGCGCTCGCCTTCGACTGGCACGACTTTGATTCAAGCTCCTGTACGATCGCAGGAGTATCGGCGGCGGACTTTTTGGCTGCCGCGAAGTTGAACTAAGAATCGAAAAACCAGCCTTTAATTGCGCTGGTAGGGCATACAAAAAACAAACAAATACATCCACCGAGACACGCTACAGAAAATCCTGTCTGCCACAGCGGAATCATGCTGTCGCGGAACGAAAGAGATACACGCAACTTATGAGTAGTATGTACTAAATTACACATGTATAATGAACACTATTTTTTACAGTAACGAAAACGAATTTATCATCATTCAACCTTAATCATGTAATCACTGCTGTTGTAGAAGTAMTGAAGAGACGAGCTAACATATTTTGTTCGTTTGTTGTGCTTGTGCCCTTCAAACTCTTCGAGGGAAGTATATCGTTCCCATTCRAAGGCAGTTTCTTAGTCGTTCGACATCGAAGAACTATTTGATGGCTTGAATAAAAAATAGAAGTAATAAGCAACAAGTGCGGAATAACTCAGAGAACCGGACCCAATCATCGAAAGTATTTCGCACAATTGATTATCAGAACCACTACGACAAGAAATTTTCCTTCCAAGTAGAAGAGAAACCGYATTGTTACTGGGACAATAAATATGGATCGTCGTCGCAGGAGTTCACATAAGAATACAAATTTCAAAATTCATTCTCAAAAACCACCAAAACATCTTTATCACGTACCTCGCAATGTTCCATTGGGGTGGGATTACCATCTTACTTTTAACAATTAAGTTTTCTAAGAGCAATCTTTAGTGTACTGTACGGTAARGCAGAGTTCAGCGGTCAGCYAGTAGACGTGTTGTAACTCACAACCTGCCTAATGTACCCTGTGTGTCATCACAAAGTATTTACAGCAAAGAGTGAGATTATTCAATACTGTTTCTCTTCTACAGTACCTACTTGATAAGTATGAGTAGTTACAGTACACGTAAAACTCAATTAGGATGGTGATTGCTTATGTGTGATATGTTGCTATGATACATGGATGGTTTGTTATGSTACCGATTAGTACTGATAGATGTKTCTCCATTTCGAAGCAAAGTGATAAACCACTTTCTTGAATGTGAGTTAAGCTTGTTAGCTGAGGCGATACATCTTATGGGTGAACGGGTTTCATATCCATCTGTTTCGCATCGTATCAATTGCAAACGGTAGTGCTTCATTGCGGCGTACTGGTCGTAACAGAGCGAGACAAGGGGACCAAAGTGGCTCGACTCAAACTGCCGTACAGGGAGTTGCGGAGCCTAATTTGTGTTGGTGAAGGAGAGAAGAAACCATCTTTAGCGATTGCTWCTGGTGCATCAAGCCGAGYCATGGATAGTCGTACCCAACTCATTCGGCTGTCCTGTTGCGATTGTGTAACAAATAAGTCAAGTATCATTGGGTATCGTTYGTTCMACCAAAATTTCCGTGTGGTATTCASAGGAAACAAAATCAACTTACAACCCATCCCCCTTTGACCTCTCATCCAGTCCTAGATGTGAAGTTGATCCGTTACCTTCTCGCCGATCCCACAATTGCATCCAAATTGACAAGTTTACGATCCTCTGGATTGCGATTCGCGAAGACGTCCAGCATTTGATAGGGGAGTTTTTGTTTCCCGCACAATTTCTCTGCGTCTGAAGCGGTGGCCATATCCACAAGGTTCTTCTCCAGGGCGTCGCACTCCTGTGGCTTAGTCTTAGCGTTGGCTAATAAAACGTCGATGTCTCTGGAAAGCCATTCCTTTGGAACCGTCCCGATCAACGCCGTGTCGACAGTTCCATCCGATTCCACCATGGCCAAGTGGGGAATCGCATCAACACCTAAGGCTTCAATTAGTKGCCAATTGTTCGGATCGTCGCCATTGACCATYACAAAATTAACCTTGTCCTTGTATGATTCTTCTACTTGGAGAAGCGTCGGTGCCATGTAACGGCARTTTTCGCACCTAWTWMGTTTTGGCAGCAGTATTCAATCATTAGCAAGGCATTTTTTGGWTTAATGRCAATCACAATACAAGTAATAGTTGAGACGATCTGGCCAATTTTCACAAGACGCAACTCTTTGATCACACCACAGAAAAATTAATCCACAACCAACCGCACTGTACTCACCAGGGTGCCCAGAAATCAATGACAGTCGGCTTGGAATTTTTTCCAATATCAGAAAGGGGGGCACTAGTCCGYTCCATGTTCACCAGRAGCTGAATGGGCGTGACGGGGTGAGTCCATTGGTAGGCATAATTCCCAACGGCCAGGAAAATGGACAGGATTGCAACCCCGATGTTTCGCATTCGTCGCTGCCTCAGGAGTTCCTTGTCGGAAAGAGCGGCTTGTCCGGTATTTTTCATCGTTGTAGCTGTTGTTACCGAGGTTGCTTGCGGGGCTTCTGGGCTTCGTTTCCGAATCGACACGACGTCCCCAAATTGTGCAGRGGCCGGGCTGCTACTCGTTCTCGACGAAATCGGCGTGACGTCCCCGAATCTTGCTTTTTGTGCCACTGTGGTGGGGGCGTCAGGTTCCGCAAATAAAGGTGAGGAGGGAGGTGCAGAWTTTTCGTCGAGTGGATTGTTGATGGAGTTGCTGGAAGAAGAACTGTCGTCCGAGCTAGCGTGATCACCGGAAAACAACCGTACAAGATTATTACTTCGAGGCACTCGATTYGACATTGCAYAATCTTCTAGACCCCTTCCCTTCACTAAAAGTGATAGCGCCGGAGACGTAACATATGCATCAATGGATCCATTGTGTATTATGGTACCGATTAACAACAGAAGTACTTTGTGCACGGACATGGTAGACGAAATTCCTGGATGAAGCCCCGTATGTCRATTCTTTGTGATCTACTGTGAATTGCTGTATGAAGTTCGTTGATCGATTTGCTTTTTGTCTTTCTCAACGCACWMWTTGTTCAAAAGATTACAACGGATGTATTGTGATGAAGTGGGYTGATGCTATTCGATCCTTGTTGATTTGKGAAAGGCATGGAATTTGTCGTGATTCTATGACAAAACGTTCATCTTAATGATTCGGAATGAAGTGGCTCTTACGTAGTTTTACGTGTAAGGTAGTCGGCTTGCGGTCTCCAAACAGCACATCGAAACTATCGCTTGGCATGCCGATCGCTTGGGTACAGGTACAGAACTACTGTAAAGGACTGTTTGAGTTCGTAGATATTTACGATTTGTTACCGCATTTCTACTCATGACATCATAAGGAACACCTGCCATGTTCTTTCTCCGAAGAACGTGGTTGCAGTTAAGTTGTCTGCGTAGTTCACGAGAAATTCGCGCGACGACACAACCTATCTTCGTGGTAATCGTGTGATCGAAACACTACCAGATGACGTGTTGTTCGCTGTCCAAGAGGGATTGCATTGGACGATGATGACTACAGGGATGACGAATTACTGTATGAATCGAATAAATCATCCAGTACATGCCGTACCGTACGGTACGTAACGAACGTGGTACGAACCCTATTACTAGTAACTACTTCCTCCGTCCGTAATTAAATGTACCTATGACCCTTTTTTGTTGTCCATAAAAAATGTCCTCATTATCACAACTGTGTAGGATTGTGTGCAGTTTGTACCAGAAAACATTTAATATTCACTAGAAGCAGTATTACTTATGCTATTAACTACAGTACTGTATTAATGGTTCATTCCTAATTATTCATAACAACATGATATCCTATTGTAATACTGTACTATCGGTACGTACTAGCACCTACCGATACCATGGCTAAGTCTCATCCACAAYCATGAAAAATAGTAGCATGTCCCAAAAACCGAAAAGGATGTAATTTGAATGTCGTCCTGCTGGAAGGAGAAAGGAATCCCATCTTTTCTACATCTATCAAAGGCAAGCCCCATGCTGGCAAGTCCTTATTGGCAATCATAGTACTTCTGCAGAGTAACGGCTGCCATTTTTTTCTTTTTCCTGTCTCCATTTCCCCTCTCCTCGTCCCCCCTCCACACAAAAAACTACAAGTCCATTACTATATCTCTTTCTGGTCCTTCCTCCTCGGGATCTAATATCAGTGGTTGTTACTACTTCAAAATTTCCACTGCACTCCTCACTACTACTGGATAACATCCATTACCGGCGAGAAATTGAATCATGAAAATGTTTTTATTTTTGTCCTTGGGATAGTGTTGAACAGCAGTTTGTTGAACAGGGCCTTCCTCTAGTTTTTGAAGACGGAAGCTGCCAACCAAGATCAGGGTTTCCCATWGGTTTCCTCTGTGTTCAAACAAACTTATCGCGGGTGTCTTCTCTTGTTCCAGCAGTAGGGAGGAGCTTGCGCGGACACAGCTCCGATGGAGAAACAGTCACCCACCACAGCGGTCTTCGTCTGTCGTCTTGCGATGCCTGCAAACGATAACGATATCGATGGCGRTCRCAKCCGTGCATGCGTGGACCGACGAATGGCGCATCCCCTCGTGGGATTTGCTGCCACGGGCGTCTGCTCTGATTGCGAGATGGAAAAGTCTTGCACGAACAATGCATCACGACGTTTGGAATTTTCATMGACGGCGACATGTTTTTCGGTTGCTTTTTCGGTGCCAAGGTCCCTTTGGATGCCGTGGCTTTGGTCGTCTTTTCACGCCTTCCCCGGAGAGTCGTTGCAGTGCCAAGCCCGCGCTCGACCCCTGCCCTGTCGACTCGATACGGTGAGTCGAATCGCATTGAATCGAAGCGACTAGCTCTGCTGCCATTCCGCTGCCATTCCGATGGATTCCTTGTTTCGCGAGGGATCGGTGGAGGGACGGACCAAAGACCTCGAATCCGAATCCAATCCCATTCCATTCGATTCGTTCGGCGTGCCGTCCTCAGCAGAAAGGGACAAGTCCCACGAGCAGCGGCAGCAGCACCGCAAGGGCCCCCGCGGGGAGCCCCCCGGCCGCACCGCTGCCCTGCAGTGCTTGCGCAGTCTCCACGGTTTGGTCCCCGCCGTCGCTTCCCCCGATGCCGCTGCTGTCGCTCGGATCGGAGCGCTCCCGCTCGTACAGATCCTTGCGRCCCTCGATCATGGCCTCGTCGATTGCCCCGTCGTCGATGTTGTATTCGTCGTCGTCGAATTCGTACCAGGTGGTTGGTGCCCCGGTGGAGGCCTCGCCGAACGCACTGCCGGCGAGGTCGTCGGCAAAGGGAGGCCGGTAGATGTGGTTGTGCTCAAAGGCCGCTTCGTGGAGGTCCCGTTGCTGCTGGTTCCCGCWGGTGGGTCGACCACCGCGGACGCTGGGTCCCGATCCCGCGAGAGACAAGGCGAACGGAAGCCAACCCGGACCTTCGATCCCTTTCGTTGTCCCTGCGATCGCCACCGTTGCCAGTGCGAGCGTTGCGGCAACRGTTGCTGCCGTTGTTACCGCTGTTGCTATCGCTATCGAGKATGCTGGTCTCATCGTGTCGTCCGGTTGGCTTGTTGACCCGATTGGAGCCGCGGCCTTTCTACAAACTGATCTTGATTTCTGCGTGTTTGGCTGTTTCGTGATCAGTCCTGTGTCGTCCTGTGCAGAAACGCGACCCGACGACGTTCGRTGGAACAACGGACGGRATGTACGTTACACTCGAGGACGAAGAACGATAGGAGTCGGAGATCGCAGCGCTCTGATTCTTTGACGTCGYGATACAGCTTTGCCGGAGCGATATCACAGCGTTTGGCCCGTGATCTTTTGACAAGGTGTCGTCGTATCCTGGTATGGGTTCGTACCGGTATACTCGTACTACCGGTATGCTTGTATTGTGGTGTCGTTTRTTGGTCCGAAGCCTGCTGTCTCGAGTCTCGAACATGCTCTGTGCCACAACAATTCAAAAATGCGCGGCGTGCCGACGGTGGCCTATTGGGATACATACTTTACTTACCGCACAAATCAACGGCAAAGACGGGTTTCCGTTCACGACTCAGCAGAGCGGAAACCGGCATGGCGCGCTTTGTAATCAATTCAATCATCTACTTCTGTACGGTACGGTACCATGTACGGTACGTACTACTGTACAGTAATATTTTAACATTGGTACGAGTACCGTACGAGATCTAGAAACCAAACTGGGGGGAAAATAATGATACATACGCTACTGTGGCTGCCACCGTCCACGGTACCAGTACAATCATACCGTACGGTMCAGTGACAAGAATACATAATACGTACATAATAGGACGAGGTACGTACCATACGTACCCTTAACCCATCGAAGTACATCAGACATACGTTCGTACGTACGTACTTTGCATAGATAGGATCCCTCTACTGCAACCTTGATCTTTTGAAGAAAGGGCACTGGCAAAAAATTGTACCGAAATTTAAGGACTTTTTTCCTGTGAGGATATAGCTGGATCACGAGTAGCTAGTGAATAACCTCACTCTTTATTGTAAACACGTAGTTATACGGCACTAAAGAGCACACGTATATTTCACATTTCCAACGGTCACCGCACAACGGGTTCTCATGACACCGATTGTGTGCTACAGTACTGTAGGTTCTACTGTAAAGCTAGGTAAAGTAGCTCTTATCTTGACACGCGAAAAATCATCGTTCTGGCACCCGGACAGGTCTGCCCTACCGTACACTGTACCGTACGGTGTTGGTTCTAATGTACAGAACGTAGTGCTGTACTACTTTGCACTAGGGGTTCGATCACAAAAACAGTTGTCTTTAGGAAGATTCGTTCGACTGCCTAGCCTCAACAACAGAAAGAGCTTCGCAACGATTCAACGAGATTCAACGAGACTAGACTAGACTAGACTAGCCTAACCCAGACTCGACTCGAAAGCGAAGAATTGGTGCTGGCAATCCGCAAGCAACCAAGCAAAGGCAACAGCAAGAGGAAGCGAGAAGAAAACCTCCCGTCCATTGCCACCCGTTCCATCCACCCGCCCGTCCATTCGTCCTATCCATCATGACCCTGCCCACGCTCTCGATCGTGGTCGCCGTACTGGCGGTSGCCATARTGGCTGTGTACCAGTTCCTGAAATCGTGGGCGGAAACCGCGTACGACTTTTACAAGAACGACCCGCCCTCGCAGTGCGACATTGATTCCTTTGTGAGCACGTCCGAGTACAACTCCAACCCCCCCAACAAGCTCAAGGTGTCTCTGATGCACAAGATCCAGTGCCGCGGRCTGAAGGGCCGGACCGCCCGGACCACCCCCGTGGAACTGGTCTGTACCAAGTCGCCCCACGTCGAGGGGCTGTACGTGAGCCGCCAGGCCGAGTCCGAGGGCGGGGAACCCGCCAAGGAGCCCACGGTCCCCATCGGGGACGTCCTGGCCACCAAGCAGCCGGGCCACGAGGACAAGCCGCCSGTGGTGGTGGTAACCATCCGAATGGGCTTTGGCCACCACCGCATCGCCTACTCGGCCTGTTCCTGGGCCATGGAGCGGGGGCACACCACCATCTTTCACGACTTTTTGAACATCGAGAGCGCCGAGTCCGATCTCATCAAGACCGTCGATCAGTTCTACTCGAAGGGTTCCCGCCTGGCCTCGGAGCTCGGGAGCCACGTCGAAAAGGTGTGGGGCCAGTTGATGAAGGGTGGGGACGCCGACGCCCTCCGGGCCGCCGCCCTGACGGGGGCCCAGCTGATGCCACTCCTCAAAACCTTCCCGAAGGACACGCCCATTGTCTGCACCCACCAGATCTGTGCCCTCGTGGCKGCCGCAGCCGGCTTTACCAACGTGGTCAACCTGGTGGTGGACAACTATCCGCAGTGGTTTTTGGTGGTCCCCAAGACACTGAACATTACCCAGGGTGCGTTGTCGTCRTTGTTGTTTTTGATGTTGTTGATGTTGGTATTTGTTATCTACCGCAGGCACAGTTTGGTCGCTGACRTGTTCCTTTGCTCACATTAATTTGGGTGCGTTGCCATTTTTTAATGATATRTTCAGGCCCCGTCAACTACCAGAGTTATCTGCGAATGGGCGTTCCGGCTTCGGAATTGCGGCTGGCCGGACACTGGTGCCCCGCTGATTTGGTGAAAAACATCGGAACCGATTGCAACCGCCGCATTGCCAGGGCGAAGGACTCGGGAAACAAACCCCGCCGTTTGCTGATCCCCGTAGGTGGCGCGGGTGCGCAAAAATCATTCATCATCAACTTCATCGAAGCGGTAGAACCCTGGATCCGTCGCGGAAAACTTCAATTGTTCCTGAACGCCGGCGATCACAAACACATGAAAACAGCATTTGTAGAAGTCCTGGACAAGGTCGGACTCGAATACGACACCGTAACCAAGACCAAGGGCGTCTACGATTTCCAGTCCAGATTGCTTGAACCCGGTGCCGAACCCGACAAGGCCGTTACCCTCTTTGCTTTTGACGATTATTTCCCRGCCGTCGCCACCACCGATCTGCTCTGCCGCGTTGCCGATATCCTGACCTGCAAGCCCAGCGAGCTCGCCTTTTATCCCATCCCCAAGCTGCACATTCGCCGAGTCGGGGACCACGAGGCCTATTCCGCCATTCGTGCCGCGGAGGTCAACGACGGGAGTCTCGAGGCCCGCGAAATCAGCGACGCCCTCCGGTACCTTGAACTCCTGTGCGACAGCACCTGTGATTTGCTGCCGAGCTGGAACCAGGCCGTCATTGACAACCAGACCAAGCTCGGTATGTACGATGGCTGCAAGAACGCCGTGAAGTGGGCGTGCGGCGAACAGTGAGCAGGATCAGCACAACCGCATAATGATCGAAATGCAGCACGTGTRCGTTACAACCTGGACACAGATTGTGTTCGGATTCGAAAGAGGGAGTGGTCGAATCACAGGAAATCGACCAACCAAAGGAAGAGAGGAYGAGCATCAATTCTGTGAAGCCGATTGAAACCTAGTTTAATAGAATAGTGGTGCATGCGTCTGTTGTGAGCGTAGTCTTTAGTGTTTGTGTCTTAATATTACTTTTGCAAGTACGGTACTTGGTCCGACTGGAAGCAACACGGTAGCATACCAATTATAAGGGCACAAGCTTTTGCAGATTAACGAAAAAAAAAGAACTGTCATTGTCGCTTTTTTCCAAACAAGCAACATATCGGCGTTAGTAGGCTTTGCAGCGCAGTCCAGTCCAGTCCAGCCATGTCATTGGTTACGAATCTTGCTTTTAAACAACGAATTGCACACCTTTGCTGGTCTTTAGTATCGTTTGTTTCTGTTTTGAGCCACAAGGATGCTTAATTGGTGTCATATATACTAGTACTTGTAGGAAGTGCTTACCATTACACCATTGCTGGTGGTGGTGGTCACTCACTACTACTACTACTAGTAGTATCTACTAGTACTCTCTTTCTGATTTCTTATTAGTCTAACAACTACAACAAGGCTTTGGAGAAATGCTGCTGGATAGTACTTCTTGTGTAA